ACTTCAGGACAGATCTTGAAACATCTTTTGTGATGATGAATGCCACGCCATTTCTCTTCAATTTGTCATTCCCAGCATAGTAGATCATATAGTTGTCTGATTCAAAATGCCCAAAACCTCATGAATGCAACAAAAGACAAGCAAACCAGAAATCTCAAAAATAATAAAGAGCTTGTCAATTTGTCAACTGCCATTAAATTTTTTTAGCAAAACTAACACCCTAAGAAAGAGATGCTACACTTAAAAACAGAAGAACTGATACCAAAGGCAACAGTCAATGGTAAAAACAGAAGGCTTTATTTAAAATAACTAATATCACGAGTGTATTCATTTAGTAAAAATCCACCGAGTTTGGTATATTATTGTATACATAATACAATTATTAAAAACATTTTATCATAAAAAAGGTATAATTGATATACTGAAAGTAATAAGAGACCCTAAGACATCTATGAACAAGCTCATTTTATTAAGAGCCAATTAAAGAACTCTGAAATGAAAAATGAAAATATTCAGTAGAAATTTTAGATATGAAATTAGATTTAGAGAATGTACTTTTATATAACAAATTTGCCTATACATAAACAAATATAGAAAAGTAATTTATATTAAGTTTGTAGCATATCTCACAACATGTTTTTACCCACATAGAATTATTTTTAAAATTATATTGGCCTGTTTATGCTGTTAGGTGTTGAGTTGTCTCTGATTCATAGCAACCCTACAATAGAACAAAACACTGCCTGGTCCTGCACCATCCTTACAATCTTCGCTATGCTTGAGTCCATCAATGCAGCCACTCTCTAAATCCATTTCTTTTTTCTTTTTTTTTTTTAATTATGATTTGGGTGAAAATTTACAGAGCAAACTCACTTTCCATACAGCAGTTCACATACACTTTGTCTCATGATATTGACCACAATTCACCACAATGTAACAGCTCCCCTCCCATTTCCTCCTGACAGTCATCTCTTCCCTGTGTCCATCCCTCCATGTACCCCTGCCCCCTGAGCTCTCTCCCTGTGCATAAACAGCCTTTCTTTCTCCCATGTCAATCCATTTCTTTGAGGGTCTTCCCCTTTTTCACTGACCCTGGGCTACACTAAAATCCAGTTTTCTCTCTCTTAGTAAAAATTAACAACTAATGACAGCCAGTCTAAAAGCCAGTAGGAATGGACTAAGGTTATTTTATTAAATGTACTTTGTACAAAACTCCCTATGAATTTAAGTATTATAATTTACATAGTGGCTAAGGCACTTGACTGCTAACCAGAAGGCTGGCGGTTCAAACCCACCAGCCACTCCTCAGAAGGAACATGGGGCAATCTACTCCCGTAGTGATACTGCCTCGGAAACCCAAGGAGGGGTCACTGTGAGTCGGGTCCGACTCGACGGCACATAACAACAACAACAACAATTTACATTTTATGGATGAGAAAAAATATAGGGCAGATTTTAAAGCAATTGGCAGAAGGGTGATAGATTTTAATGGACTGGTTTGAGTCAAGCAATGCCTGTATCTGGCAAACACTAATTTAGCCAAGAAAATTGATAGAAGCCTCAACAAAACAACATAACATAGCAAATAAACTCCAAGTAAATAATAATCCAGAACTAAAATATATTTAGTCATACTAAAAGAAATGAAGTATGCCTGATTCTCAAGCAAATATCTAGTCATAAGATTAAGAAACACATTTTTCTAAAATATGGTCTGCATACTGACTGACAGCAGGGAATATAAGTTCCACTGTGAACAACAACCCAGGGTTGGAGGAAGGATGGATGGCATGGAGAGACAGATGTGTTAAAATATGAACCCTAAGATTCCTACTGGTACCTAGGAGTATACAAAGATTAGATATAACTGTAAAATAGTAGGTTTAATTCTTACCATTAATAACTGGTGTGTAAACAACAATCCCAACCAAGTTGGGGTCAGATACAGTTGTATCCAGAATAAGGCCACCAATGCTGAAAGATATAAAATTATATAATTTAGAGAAGAAAAGAAATGTACTAATTTGAAGTTATTTTTTATACATAGGCACCACAACTTTTTAAAATAAAATGTTTAGATATTTTTATAATAGAGTGAAAAGAAGAAAACACTCAAAGTAAAAGTCAATGTTAACAGCAATATGTTGAAAATAAAACATGACATAAGCTGTAGCCCCAGAATTAAAGACTTTCTTCGTGATCTTCAAAATATGTTACTCATAAAAAGAAAAAAACGTATGCCTTAAGTGCATTAAAATGTCTGGAAGGACATACAAGAAATTATTAACAGTAGCTATCAGTAGGAGGTGAGACTGGCAGTCATTTTATAACCTTCTGTGTTAATTTTTTAAAAGTACGTACACCTATTGTTCTTATAATTTTAACAAATATATTTCAAAAAAGTATCTTTTCATATTGGAAATAAACAAGATCTAGAAGGGACAATTTTTAGGTGTTAAAACTATAGTTGAGATATGTCTTAGCAATGTACATTAAAATCATGACTTGTACTCATAAACAGAGCTGATCTGGAGAATAGAGGTCTGGAAAAATAACATTACAGTTTCACCACAGTGGCAAGCCATAAATTCTCAATGGAACTTGGCGATTTTTTAAGTTTCCAAGACCATTATCAATTCAGTCTCTTGGTCTATATGTTATGTCTCAACAGTCCATGGAATTCTGTTGCCTAAATCTTCCAGGGAAATGCAAACCACATTAAAAAAAAAAATGAACCATATTCTGTTAAGGAATGGGACTGATGTCAAAATATCATATCAAATATTCTTATCACTACCTGATAGTTAAAACCACAAAGTTATTAAGTCTTTATCATTTCAATTCTTTAATAAGTGAATTATGGCTTAATACGCTTAAACTGCTAAGAGTTTTCACTAAAAAAGTAAACTAAACGGTCCCAAAATAGTCATCCTCAGAAATATTTTAATATTTAAAGGTCTAATTTAAAAAATAAAATATATATTTTATAGAACAAGTTAGAAGTTAAAAAAATAAATAAATAATAATCTCTGCCAAAACACATTGATCATGCTATGGATTTAACATGAACACTTGCTAAAATACAGTTTCAAATATTTTTGTTACCCAGGTAATAAAACTTATTGTAGAAAATACAAACAAAAAGAAGAAAATAAAAATCACCCATAGTTACAAAGTTACACTGCTAACAAGTTGGTACATAGCTTTCCTGACATTTTTTAACATGAATATTTTAAAACTGGATCAAATTTAAATAAAGTCAATTGGATTAAAAACTGGATCAAATTATAAAAGTAAGTTTATTAACTTTATTAAATCTCCTTTTTATAGAACAAACATGTACATTTTTAAAAAAATAAGACAAAAATACTGGTCCCAGCCCCACCTCCAGGTCTTGCTCTATACTGGCAATTCTTTTCAATGTCATTGGCTGTTTCTTGTAGGATTCAATTCTGTATTTCTAAATAGCATGTTTACACTGTATTTCTTGACTTTTAATTTTAGACATTATCAAAGAACTTCCTACTAGGGCAAATGAGGATTTAGTGTCTCTCTTACCCTCCCCTTCCCACTTTTAGTCCCTTCCTAATTATCTTCATCTCCCCCCATCCTATCAAACCAGTTATTAGTTTTTGGTAAAATACTTAGGGTCTGTATTATTGTAACTATGGAATTATTATCAACACCTGAGCCACAATGTCTATCACTTCTACTTTTTGCTTTGTCTCCTATTTTTCTTAGTTTTTTAGGTTTTTGTTACTAAGTCAGCCTCAAATCTGCAACAAAGTTAATACTTCTCAATGCAAAATCATCAGTTAATTGATCAATGCCTTTCCCCCTCCCCCTCCTTTCTGCCTGCTCTCTAGGCCTGATGCACACACAGGTTTCGTCCTGGGCCTTCCCTTCAACTTCTGTGTTGGATAGTGGTTCATGTATTATAACCAAATTCCAGTATTAATTCCAGTATTTCATGAGATCCTACTGTCTTCCAGGAAACAAAAAAGAAAAACCAAACTAAATTACAGAAAAATGAACCACAAGCTATCTCAGAATGGGTATCTTGAATATTTCCTCATTTTGATTGAACATTACTTCTATTAGCTTTATACAAAAAGGTCTGTGGGAAGTAAAATCTTTGAGACCCTGCACAACTGAAAATTTCTTTACTCTTAACACTTGTTGATACTGTTGCTAAATACTATAATCTTTCCTTAGATTTTTGAAGGAAATTTTCAACGGTGCTGCCATTTAAAAAGTTGGATGCCATTCGGATTTCCAGTCCTTTGTATGTAACTCATCTTTTCTCTCTGGAAGCTTCTGGGCTTTCAGACTGATGTGTTTTGCTTTGGGACCCTGCTGGTCTAATTCATTGTGCCAAGTACTCAGTGAGCCCTTTCTGTCTGGAAATCATGTTTTTCAGTTCTAGGAAATGTTCTTGTATTATTTGATCATTTTCTCTCCTTGCCATTTGTCTCCTATTATATCCTCCTCTTTGCTTTCTGTTCTGCCTTCCAGGAGAGTTGTTCAATTTTATCTTCCAACTTTCTACTGAATTTTTATTTCTGCTATTCATGTTTTTAAATTTCCAAGAGCTCTTCTTTGCTTTTCAAATCCTCATTACACCATCCTGTTTTTACATTATGAATGCTGTAGCTCCTCTTATTTCACTGATTTTCTTCTTCTTCTTCTTCTTTTTTGTTTTTGGTTTGTTGAGGTTTTTCAACTATCCCTCTGCTGGCATTTCTGTTTTGCTTCTTTTCTATCTTTCATGTTAGAGGCCTTCATCAAATGTCTGGTGATGCTTCAGTGTCTGCTCTTTAAAAGGCTACTGCAAAGTATACTTGAGCTTTGTGTACCTGGGCAGAGCTAGCCAACAGATAGGCATATATCTCTTGAACTAAAGAATTCATAGGGTCAATATCAACAGGTCTTTTCTTTCATGCTGGTGAGCTGCCCCAGAAAGGAATTGTCTAATCTTCCATGAAGGAGGCTGGGTAGCACCAGCAACTTGTTAGTTGCTAACCCAAAGGTTAGCGCCACAGATTTTATCTGTGGTGGCTCCACAGACAAAAGGCCTGGCAATCTGTTTCCATAAAGATTACAGCCAAGAAAACCCTATGGAGCAGTTTTACTCTGTAACATTTGGGGCCACCAGGCGTGGGGAGTCAAGTCTACAATAGCTGACAAAAATTTTATGTCTAGGGGTGTAAGCCTGCCAGCCAACATTCTAGCAACATAAAATGGATAGGGTTCTCACTGTTCAGTATGCAGTCTTTTGTTTAATCCTCCCATTTTCTAGACAGTGCTTATCAACATCCTCGCCTGTGCAGATGTTTCTGAATCCAAAGCCTCTCTGATTTAGCCTCTCCAGCATTAGTATCTTCTGCTAGGGTGGGAGAGGGCAATCACTTGGGTGCTCAGGTTAGGGAAGGGGTTTTGGGGTAATTGCTCTTTATATGAACTGTCAACTAATCTTCATTTTAGCCTTTAAAGTGACTTAGTGCCTGAACTTCCTCCACCTTTACCAGGGTTCTGAGGCTGAGATTAGTTTGGGTGTCTTATGTGTCTCTTCTCACCCTGCAGGCAGTAAGGTTTCAGCTTTTTTCATTCTGCTATGTCAATTAAGAATCATCCATCTGCTCCCTAGTGTGATAGCTGGAGCTGTGTGTCAACTTGGCTGGACCACAACTCTGTGTGGTAAAAGCAATTGTGATGTGGGTTATTCCCATGAGGGGATCAGATGCGTAGGTTCTGAGCAGCCAATCCATTGAAAGGAAGTTTCCCTAGGGGTGTGGCCTGCTTCCAGTATATTTATGGACATCTGGGAAAAAAGACATTCTTCTGTGGATCGGGATTCTGTTGTGCTGCCTATACTGTCCGTGAGTGATCAATCCACCATTCAGCCAGGAGATCTTGGATTTGTCATTCAATGCAGTCAACAGCCAGTATACCGCCTGCCAACCTTGAGCTCCTCAGCCCCTGCAGTGAAGTGAGTCAGGAAAAGCCTCCAGCTTGACGTTTGATCCAAGAACTTTGGACTTGCCAGCTTCTGTAAGTGTGTGAGCCATTTTCCTAAGATAAATTTCTCTTTCTATATAAGCTTTACTGGTTTAGAGAACCCAGTCTAAAACACCTAGTTTCCTAAATTTGTTGACATCTTTCAGCTGCTATCCTCTCTGCCTCCCCTTCTGTCTTTGTGGTTTTATATCTTTTTTTATTCATTTACTGTCATTTCAGCAGTTTCAGGAAGAAAATAAACGGTGTCAATCCACAAGAAACTCATTCTCTTTTCTAACCTGTCTTTTCACAAATGTGTAACAAACATCTTTCCATATCAACAGCAAAGGTACAATGTTGTTTTTAATGGGTGACTGATACTCCATCTTGTGACTATAATTCCAATTGATCAGTACCTGTTCTTAACCCTGTAAGTTGTTTCTGTTTTCTCTCTCCGTTATTGAAAACGCCACTATGATGAGGATCTTTGCAACTAAGTCTTTCATATACAGCCTAAACTACATATATTAATCCAGTCATAGTCCTAGAAGACTAGTCAAATAGTATATACATTTCTAAGGCTTCTGATAGTTATCTGAGCAACCCATCATTCAAAATAAGTAATGTCTTGTCAGGTTAAAACATACACACATACACAAAACGACAAATACCAAAAAAATTTCTCATCAATCTGATAAGAATATGGTTGGAGAGAAGATTGAAACTGGAAGCCAAATGAGGTTCTGTACATCTACTGATTTCAATAACTGTCACTTACATCCCTTATTAGTTGGGATAATAAAGAACTGGTTATCTATAATGACCCAAAAAATAAAAATAGGCAATAAATTGACTTTACTATGCACATATACACATGCATATAGAATACAGACACACAGACACATACATTTTAATACTAACCTACTTATGATCATAGCTGTTATGACAGGCTCCCAGCCTGAGTGGAGAACTGTCCTTGTGGCTGGATGTTTGGCAGCTATTATAATCCAGATAGGAGTTAGAGCCAAGAAAAAGACACCAACTAATGGAGAAATGTAGTAATAGGTCTCTAAAATTAAAAAAGAGACAGCATTTCAGTCTCTCTGCTCTCCATGAAGCAAATCTAAATTATTAGATTTGTAAAAGCTTACCAGAGGATACGATGCTATCAAAGACTTTAATATATATTTTCTATCAATTTCAATCAGATTTAAAACTGTAGATAAGATTTAAAAAATCAAATAATGTATTTGAAAACTAATACATTAAATTCAACAAACATTTATTGAAATAACTAAGTGGCCTACATGGGAATAAAAATAAAACAGTAAAAACTAACATTTATTTGTCTCCTACTGTTCATCAGGCACTGTGCTAAATACTTCATATTCATCATCTCATTTAATTGTCCCTATAAGTACAAGATAGATACTGTCATTGTTTCTATTTTATGGAAAGAAACTGAGGCTTAGAGAGCTTAAGCACATAGCCAAGAAATAGCAGAAGGAAAAAAAAAAAAAACCCACATTTATCTTACCAAAGTTAGTGCTCTTTCTCTAGACTATAAAGTTAAATAGAAATTTTTCCCCATAAGGATCTTATAGTGCAGGCAGTCTGTAGAATAATGTCCCTGAATTAATAATAGCTATCCCCGTCCAACTCCTGCATATAGAGCTCCAAGCTCCAAAATAAAATAGAAAAACTCAATTTAATAAAGTTAAACAGATTATTCACTGCACAACTATACACAACTTTTAATACGCTAGGCTAGAATATAGTACACTGAATTAACCCACAGTTTGCCCAACAAACTGAGTCTGACTGCACAGTTTTCACATTTGGGTATTAAAACTAATCTTGGGTAACATATTTACCTTTTCTAAGCTTTAATTTCCTGTCTTTAAATTGGTAATAACTGTACCTGTGTCATGGGATTGTCAGACATCTAGCCAACATGTATTATTTCTTTCATTAAAGGTGCTCTGGTGGTGTAGTGGTTAAGGCACTTGGCTGTAATCAAAAGCTTGGTGGTTTGAACCCACCAGCTGCTCTGAGAGAGAAAGATGAAGCGGTCAGCTTCTGCAAAGATTTATAGCCTTGGAAATCCAATGGAGGTCACTATGAGCTGGAATCGACTCAATGGCAGTGAGTTTGATTTTCGCTTTTTACTCTCATTGCCATCATCACCATTATTATTTAAGTAACACTGAGCTAACTGATTGTCAGGACTTTGTTTTATCTCCCTGTGGGAGACTGTCTTACTTGACCACAAATATTTACTCCCTCCTCACTCCTGCTAGACTCTCTTATAAAAAGAATATTTCTCTGCCTCATTGACTTTGGGTTTGGTCATTTGTCTTGCTTTGGACAATGGAACATAAATTGACATGATGTATGCTACTTAAAAGGAAAATTTTAAATGTGCTTTCAGAAATAACTGAAAATATATATATTTATATAGCAGACAGTGTTTCACTGCTATTCATAAGGTTTTCACTGGCCAATTTTTTCAGAAGTGAATGGTCCGTCCTTCTTCCTTCATCTGCAAGCTCCGCTGAAAGCTGTCCACCATGGGTGACACTGCTGGTATTCAAGATAGCAGTGGCATAGCCTCTAGCCTCACGGCAACATGCAAGCCACCAAAGTTGGACAAACAGCTTTTTTCAGACACTAGATAATGGGCATTGCAAAACTGATCCCTGAGAAAAGGGAAAGTAGTAAGATAAGCCCTACAATGTTGTTGTTGTTATGTGCTGTTGAGTCAGATCCGATTCATAGCGACCCCTCCTTGGGTTTCTGAGGTGGTATCACTATGGAAGTGGATTGCCCAAACTTCCTTCTGGAGAGTGGCTGGTGGGTTTGAACCGCCAGCCTTCTGGTTAGCAGTCAAGTGTCTTAGGTACTACACTACCAGAGCTCCCCAAGCCCTACAATAGCCCCAGCTTTCTTCCTAAAAGGCACATTCCAGACCATAACTCAGGAAGGGAAAAGCACAGCAGAGCACAGTGGCCTTGCTAAACTGAGTTTGGAGAGGCTAAGACAGCAGCAATTTTCAGATACTTCACAGAATTCTGAAATCCCTACCCAGACTCTAATCTTTGGTGGAATTTATTTTTTTAGCTCCTCAAGATATTTAAGATATTCCCATCTATGACTAAAGATGTTTGAACAAGATCAAATTCATTTTTTCAGGTAAAACAAAACAATTATTACAAATAATAATATCCAAATAAATTTTATTTCCATGGCTTTATCTAGGTTTGCCACACATCTTCAAAATAATTCTACAAACAGAAGTCATTTTAATATTTTCTTCCATTAAAAGGATATGACTAATGCTACATTTAGAGTCATTTTCTCTACGATATTTTAAAAGAAAAAAAAAAAAACTTTTATTTTTTAAATGGATTCCCAGTTCTCTTCTCTAAACCATTAGATGAGGATAAATAACATCCCAATTAAGACAAATTCTTACCTCTTAAAACAAAAAATTCCCAGCATTTTTTCATAGGACCAATGGAAAACTAAAAGCATTAAAACCCAGTTAGACACAAATGAAAATAACTACTCTGCTTAAAGTGTACAATTCAATGGTGGTGTGTAGGATACTCCCAGGACTGTGCAGCCATCACCACAGTCTTCTTCCTGTCTCCATGGATTCGCCCATTCTGGACATACCATACAAATGTAATCATACAATACACGGCTCTTTGCGTCTGGGTTCGCATAATGTTTTCAAAGTTCATCTTAATATTTCATTCTCAGATCAAGAGAGGAGCACCATCCCAGGCTTTACAATAATTATTTTCCACACTAAAATCTGAAGTTGAAAAAAGCTTCCATCATCTCAACCCCAGAATCGTTGCCTTGAATTTTCAAAGAGGGGAAATTTTTTTTGAGGAAACAAACTAAAAATAATGAGTGGGCAGTTTCTCAGAAACTTAAAATGAGTGAACATATAACCCAGCAACTCTACTCCTGGATGTATACCCAAGAGAATTACAACATATGCTTAGACAAAAACTTCACAAATATTCATAGCACCATTATTCATAACCGCCCAAAAGAAACAACTCAAATATCCATCAGCTGAATAAGATGTGGTGTATCCATACAACGGGATATTATTTGCCCTAAAATGATATGAAGTATCAGTTCATGTTACAACATAGATGAACCTTGAAAATATGCGAACCCAGACACAAAGAGCCGTGTATTGTATGATTACATTTATATGATATGTCCAGAATGGGCGAATCCATAGAGACAGGAAGAAGACTGTGGTGATGGCTGCACGGTTCTGTGCGTATCCTACACACGATCACTGAATTGTACACTTCAGAAAGGTGAGTTGTATGGCATGTGAATCATATCACACTGCAGTGTAGTAAATTACTTTGTGTGGCTTTTCTACCCATAAGTCTTTGTAAACTCCAAGGTGGGATTTTCTATGAGCAACTGAGGAGCTCCTGATTGCTGAAGGTGTCCACCTGGAGTATTTCTGTTGGGCGTGGCACAAAACAATGTTCTGGGAGGTGCCCACTCTCTCTCAGGTGCTTA